CCTGATGACAGTTATGGGAACCGCCGGGGAATCGGTGTAACACAGCGTCCGGTATATTGTTTTTACAGTACATCGGGTGCTCTATACTAATCAACGGGTCCTATGTTTTGATTATCAATTTATTATTACATTAGTTAATCAAATTGTATTGTTATCATAGCGTATGAGTTATACCATATCTCCGTGCACTAGAAGTACTGGATTTCGGATCTGTCCTAAAGGGTTACAAAACAATTAAAAATGCATTAAAAACAACATTAATAATTGATTACTGAGCTGTTCCGGTGTCACCAAATACTGTCCGTCGCCGCAGTTCTCCATCGCAGCCCTACAGAAGTTGATGTGTTGGTCCCAAAGGCGCTGAAGAGTCTCTTCATCGCCATAAACCTGGCAGTAGGTGTCAAACTGTTCCTTTGGCCACCGTTTTGTGTCTCTGGTCAACATCATGGGTGCGATCGTTTGTTTGGTCGCCCACACGAAGATACCAATGGCCACCGAACACGTGATCCGATTCGGATTCATATAAGCCATAAGAAGCGCTACTTTTGCGCCGTCTGACCAACCAATCACTGAATAAGTCTTGAAGCCTAAGTCCTGAAGACATTTAGATACAATTTTGTTAGAGATTTTTTAAATGCATGTCTTATCATAACATACGTCCATAACTTTGAAACAACACTCGGCGTCGTTGTGATAGACATCGAGACCATAGGGCCGGGCGGGCGGTCGGGATCGTCCCCAACCGGGCAGCTCTACGGCCACAAACGTATACCGTTTCAGATCGAAAGCGTCCTCTCCTTCCAACTGTCGGCTGAAATCACTCCTTCCGGTGCCTTACATATCAATGAACAGAGCACTCATGTGTCGCACACCACTAATACTTACCCATCGCTCCGGGTATGAGTAGTACCACATCACGACCGGTGCCAAACTTTTCGTACCAAACGGGCCAACCATTCGCATCGCTTTTGCCATTTTCTGACGTTATTGTCATTGCATTGAATTGTGTGCAAAAGAAATGCGCGAATAAATTATATACAAATCATTGACAGATTTTATGATTGTATTGATGAATGCATTGAGAAATGATTGCAAAACACTGTTTTCATAAAATGATAACTTATTGGAGTGTATCAGTTATTATGGTTATTAGGCTACAGCTATTAGAAACTGGCTTTTCACCAGAAACTAGTTTTTTATTGATTTGTTTCGCAACAAATACTTTCTCCGCACATGATTTAGTATTAAAGCGCGTTTTGAAAAGGAATATTATTTTTGATTAAGTTTTTTGGTTATTTTCAAAGGAGTCTAAAACACAAAAGGGCAACATAAATTAACTGAGGCTTTACACAATATTTTCAAATGCTATGTTTTATAAAATGAAAATTTTTAGCTTAATTTTTATTAAGTTTAGATTTTGTTGTTGTATTTGCTTTAATGTAAAAACAATAAAAATATTTAGTGAAGCACAATTTAAAATCACACATGATTTTCATACTAACAAATGGTAAAAGGATTTAAAAAGTTTTGTGATAAGTCATCATTGATAACATTAAAAATGTTCATAAAATTTTAAAATGTAAATTTATTTTTTTAAATTCTTTTATTTTAAAATTTTTGTTAATTATTCAAAACACGTGAATTCAAAAACAAAAAATGATTTCTTAGTATTTGACATAAATTTATAAATTTTAAATATTTTTAGTTTAATAATCAATTTTAATAAGTAATTTATCTTAAGCTAAATCTAACTAACAAAAAATGGATTCATAATTAGTACCTTAATTAAAAAATTTAAATCAAAAGCATGTGTTTAGGAGAAAATCTTCGACAACTGATTTAAATTCCTTTGTATAAACACGATGTAAATTATGGGAACCCAATGGAAATCTATAAAAAGTCAATATTATTACAAACATTGTTTATTTGACTAAAATCTATGTAATAACTTCTATACCTCTTAAGTTCAGCCGTTTTAATACTTTCAATCAGATGTAAGGGATGTTTCATTTCAACCAAAGGATCCTTTTTAACAATTATTTAAAAATATAAAATTAATTATTAACTAACAATGAATTAGTAATTCATACCTTATCTCCATGTATGACAAGTATTCTGCATTTAATTGTCTCGTATTTCTTATTGCAGACACCGTTTGGGAAATAGTCGGGAAAGTTAGCGATAAATATCATGTGTCGTCTNAAAATTAATTATTAACTAACAATGAATTAGTAATTCATACCTTATCTCCATGTATGACAAGTATTCTGCATTTAATTGTCTCGTATTTCTTATTGCAGACACCGTTTGGGAAATAGTCGGGAAAGTTAGCGATAAATATCATGTGTCGTCTCCAGAGGTCCTGCACTTCCTTCTCGTCCTTATAAGCTCTCAGATAATTCTCCACCAGATTTGGGCCCCAATTCTCAATGTTTCGCGTATTTAATATATTGTTAGTACTTTGTTCTGTGTATAGGCAGGGAATACCGGCCACAACCAAGTCGGTAACATTATCAGGGTGATTGGCCGATAGCACCAGACCAACTCTGGCCCCTTCAGACCAGCCCAAAGCCATGAACTTCTTGTGACCCAAAGCCTGTGTTATGTTTATCACACTTTTAGTACACATTGTATTGTATTATGACATCAAATTCAAACCTCCATTAGTTTAACACAACAATCGGCGTCAAAATTATAGGCATTTTTGTTAATTTTCCTAATAGGAGGTCTGGATCGGCCCCAACCGGGCAGCTCTATTGTGACGGCCGTGAATTGAGTTAGATCCAGGGCATTTTTGCCCAACAATTGCTCGTAGTAATCGGTACGACCCGTCCCTACACACACATGCCATCATTCAATTAATTTATATTTATATAAAAACCATACGATTTAACAAACCTATAGCTCCGGGTATCATAAGCAATATGTTGGGTCCGGTGCCAAACTGTTCGTACCAAATGGGGTATCCATTGATATCAAACTTACCGCTCTCTGTCACCACATTCTCCATCTTTCAGCACTTTTACAATAAATTTGATTATGAAATTGAGAAATAAATACTTTTTTTAGTGAACACTGTGTTTGACGGCAACCAAGTGTTTGACAAAATAATTTGAAAATACTATAATCATTATTACGGAGAGAAAGATCGTGAGTGAAGTGATTACACCATTATTTTCCTGATACAGACGTCATCCGTCGATTCAAATCACATTCAATACAAACAACTTCTCTTACATTATCTCTCATAACCAGTTCCCGCAATGGGACGGCCCCTCACATTGTAATTAAGGCATTCATAAATGTTAATTTATTGACTTTACGCAATTCTTGTGAGATTTCATAATACTTTTCACTATAGAAATGCGTTAACAATTAAGTAATTGAAATTTTTTAGTGCTAAGAAATTTCGAGAAATTGAATAAATGAAAAATTGATTTAATTATAGATTTTAAATGACATTTAAAGATATTTTATTAATTAAAATTTAATATAAGTATTATTAATTTTATTGCATTTGATGTCATTTAACGATGAATAAATTAATTGCTATATAATTAAGGACAATTTTCATGACAATTATCTATTGTAAATTATTTATTCATATTATAAACAAAATACATGATAGAATTTAATACAGTTATGGTACATTTAAACTAAATTTATAATAATCCGTAAATTAACCTGTTTTCAAATGATTTCTAAACACAGGGAAAATATTACTTAAAAAATATTTATTTATTACATTTGGGATCTGTTTTTAATATTTGGTTTAGTCGTACTGTCAAACACACAATAAAACAAAAGTAAAAACTAGGTTATTTTATACGCTATTAACACAATCAAACATATGATAATTTGGTACAAATATTCAATATATTAAAACTCTGTTTAAAAAAACAGTAATAATTTGAAATTAATTTTCGGACACTTTTCCCTCTATAAAGAAGTCTTCGACGAGTTGTTTAAACTGTTGTGGATATACAACGTGGACATTATGTCCGCCCATTGGAAATCTATGTAAAAACAATTTCTGTTTTATTGATTAATGGATTGATTGGGCTTTAATTGCTGTCACCTTTTAAGGTGAGCTCTTTTCAGTTTCTCCATCAGATGCAAGGGTTGCTCCAATTGAACCAATGGATCCTTTAGGCAAATAAATCACTTATTACTGAATATTTACCATAAGGACAATTAATTTCACAATTAATTATATTTTACATATTTTACATATTATGTACACCCGGAGTGTGTGATTGATTTTATTTTTATATTAATAAAACAAAAAGCCCTCGTAATTTGTTCACTATTAATATTTTGTTGTTTTTATAACAGGTTTACGAATATAAAAGTAAAGTGAAATAAAGAAAAAGATTTCATGCAAAATAACTTTCATAAAATGCAGAATACAATTACTTTACACTAAAAATACAGTTATTTGACACAACAATTACAATAATGTTTGAGTGCAAACCTTATCGCCGTGCACTATAAGCACCGGACACGTGATTGTATCGTATTTATAATTGCAGACACCCTTTGGAAAATAGTCGGGAAAGTTTGAGATGAACACCATATGCCGTTTCCATAGCGCTTGTATCTCACTCTCGCTGTCGTAGACTTTTAAATACTTGCCAATCAATTCTGGACCCCAATTCTGGATGTTTTGCGTTTTTAATATATTTGCTGTATTTTGTTCGGTTGGATATACGGGTAAAGCCATTGCAATCATTGATACGACCGAATTGGGGTAATTGGCCGACAATACGAGCGCCACTCTCGACCCTTCAGACCAGCCCAACACATGAAACTTATTGTAACCCAAACACTATTTTCATATAAATTAATACAAAATATTTGTTGTTTTATTAAAATATTACTTAACATAATAATAATATAAATGGGTTTGAAATATAAAGTATAATAATCATAATTTAATTATTTACGCAACTCTGTTGTGCTTATCAAAATTACTTTACTGTAGTTTTGGTCTTAATAAAGACAAATGATGTTAATTTTCTTACCTTGAGGATCGTGAATATGCTAATAATAATATTTTGTAAAGACAAACTTTACATAACTTAACACTATTTCATTTACTTACAGTGTAGATCCTACACCACTTAGCAACACATTTAATTCTCATAATTTAATATAAACGCATATTTGATTAAATTTTTAGTAAATACGACATTGTTGTTGAGGTATACAACCCTAAATTTGAAAAACATTGTAAAGTATTCAAACCTCCATTAGTTTGACACAACACTCGGAGTCGTTTTCAAATATTTTATTGTTGAGTTTACGTATGGGTGGTCGCGATCGGCCCCAACCCGGCAACTCTATGGCCACAATTGTAAACTCATTCATGTTTAGCGCGTATTCGCCAAACAATTGGTCGTCAAAGTCGGTCCGACCCGTGCCTACAGTTTGAAGTTTCAAAAAATGAATAACAATATAAATGCTAAACCTATTGCTCCGGGAATGAGAAGGAGTACGTGTGGACCGGAACCAAACTTTTCGTACCAAATTGGCCATCCGTTTACATCCACTTTACCCGTTGCACTCATTTTGTAGTGATGTTTAGTTTGAAACCTTTTTTACAATTGAACACAATTTTCACAATTGTCTCAAAAACTTTATGACATTGTCATAAAATTGCGTAAAATATGTGTTAAATATATGTTAACCATTAGATATTTTAATCAGATAATCGACAATTTTAGCATATATAAAATGAACATTTATTAAAATTCTGATTACAATGGTACAATTTGTGTGTTGCTTTCCCTGGCAACTATACACATATGCAAATATGATTCTGCACTTTTAACATTTAAATTATTACACAATTAAACATAATTAAGTTCAAAATGACATTTACTTCATTGTAGAACTAAATGTATATATTATAATGTAATTGGTTGTCAATTATGCCCTACGGAGGCTTTACTGTATTCAATTCATTCAATTATAAACTAATTATGGTAAATAAAGTTTTACATAATTGAGTTTAATAGTAATTATAAAGTGTTAACTACAGTACTATTTCATAAATGCTTTGATAGCTCCCCTCCTCTCTTCGTCGCCTTCCTTTTCGTGGAACTGTTCCAACAGATAGTCTTCGACCACATCCTTGAAAATGGATGAAAACTTTTGGTGACAATTGTGTTCACCCTTTGGAAATTTGTATACATTGGCGTCGCTTATGGTTTGCTGTAATTTTTTTATTTGAGTTAAATCACAGATTTTGTCCTAAAATTTGATAAGAAAATTTGTTTTAATAACTTATTCTTTATAAGAAAAGTTCAAATAAAAATATTTTTGCAAACCTTTTCGCCGTACATAAGAAGAACTTTACATTTAATTGACTTGTAGTTGTTTTTGTTGTCCGGAAAGTATTGGTTAAAGTATTCAATAAACTTTATATATTTAGTCCACAACTGTTGGATTACATCCTTGTTATCATAGCTTTGGAGATATGACTGGAGTTTGTCTTTATTCCAGTTGTCGACGCTTTGAGAAGAAGTCAATGCTTTCAGACTTTCGTTTCCCATAAAAGTATAAACGGAAACCAATATTAAGGACTCAACCGATTGTTGATATTTAGTTGCCATACGAAGCGCTACATTCGCGCCGTCAGACAAACCGATTATTGAGTATTTATTGTAATTTAATTCCTAATAATTAAAATTATTGTATAAAATTACATGAATTAATATTGACATTAACTCAAACCTGCATAAGTTGATGAAGACATTCCGCGTCATTATCATAGACACCGGTGCCATACTTTCTAACGGGAGGTCGGGATCGGCCCCAACCGGGCAGCTCCACAGCGATCAATGTAAATTTATCATAATTAAGTTCGTCCTCTCCTTCCAATACTTCCAAAAAGTCTGTCCTTCCGGTCCCTAATTTGTTTTAGCAATTAATTGTAAATTTATCATAAGATTACTGTATATTTACCAATAGCTCCGGGTATTAATAGCACGGTTTTGGGTCCCGAACCAAACTTTTCGGCCCAAACGGTCCAACCGTTAACTTCAACGCAGAAACAGTTGATTTCGTTGTCATTCATGATATGTTGAATACAAGTCTTTTTAATGAATTTAAATCGTAAATAACACGTAAATTCAACACAAAAAACTTGATCTTTTATTTTAAAAATACATTGATACTATAATTTAGTTGTCACTAAAATAACCTTCACTGTAATTGATAACCAATCATACAGTAATTTCCATTGCATTTCCATTGCTTAACTTAGCTTCAATGCTTTGGAAGTTTTTGTTTTCACATAATTCTAGCAAAATGCAATCATTTTAATATAATAACAAACAAAATTTATTTATAATTACATTAATAGATTTTATCGTGAATTTTATTGAAAACAATTTGTTATTCATTACTAATCTTATCAAAAATAACAAAATTTCAGTTTTAATTAAATTTATTTTTAAGTTTTAATTACTTTCCTCATTAAATAAATCTAAAATATTTGACTATTAATACTTACTTAAATGTCTGGACTCCCTATTGAGATGATTTAAAGTGATGTTTTGATTCAATTGAATATTTACAATATAAAACACAATAAAGTATATCTAAAACTTGCAGATATTTGAACACAGATTGAATAGATTCCGTCACACATTCAATGAAAGACTAACAATCAAACAGTTATTCATGTTTGTTGAGGAAGAAAGCAATTTGTTTACTCAACAACAATGTAACCTCAGGCCCCCTCCCGCCCCCTTAAACCAACGTCAAACAGAATAAATTAGTATTAATAACTAATTAACCCCTCGGTTACTTTCACTGAGAAGCACCAATAATGCAAATTCATTTGTAATCGTTTTTGTATTTATTATCAAACCCATTAAAAATATTTCTTTGAATTGAATATCAATTCATTCAAAATGCAAATGAAAATCAATTGGTTTTTCTGTAATTTGTTTTTATTGTTAAATACAGTACATTGGAAATTACATTCATTGTTGTGTTAATATTATTTAGGTAAATAATGAATGCATTTGTTTTCCGGATAGAATATATAAAATTTAATTCAAAGACAATAATCAATCTTAATTTTGATATAAAATAGTCTTCTTATAAATGTAATATTTTTCTAATCTACAAAAAAGTGAAAAATATAAATCAATCATGCTCACATTGGGGTGTTTTAATAAATCTTGTTCAACTCGATCTCGTCAATCACTTCTTCCTCTTTATAGCAATCCATTAGAAAGTCTTCGACAACTTCTTTGAAAATGTCTGCATATTTCTGGTGACAATTGTGGTCACCGTTTGGAATCTTATAGACAATCATCTGATCCATGGTTTGTTTTAATTTGTCGATTTGTGGCGATTCACACATTTTATCCTTTTATTTAAATAATAAGGTTTGAGTAAATAATTTAGAATATATAAAATGTTAAGTTTAACATTTCTACTAACTTATTATTGATTATAAAACATATTTAACTAAACTAAATCTTTACAATACATAGATCTTTACATTTACCATTACTGTCATAAAATATATTATCAAACCTTTTCGCCGTGAATGAGAAGAGTTTTGCATTTAATCGATTGAAAAGCATTTTTACTTTCCG